ATTATTTTTATTGTAAAGATAAAGTTTCCTCTCTCACATATGTGCTAGTTGTTCCTGACTCTAGGGGGCGGTGCTCATCTCTGTTTAAAAGCTGAAGAACCAGTACTGTCCGAAGATGTCTCCATGGCCATGTGGCTGGGATGAATAAATGCTAAAGATGCACGGAACACTATTATCTTCCCACCAAAAGTGATCCCTATTTTTCTACTTTCATTTTTTTCGTGCTTCCGGACTGCTAGATTGGCAGAAGCTGAGACAAGTAATGGGAGCTCACTCCATTACATGCCGCTAGGGATTTGAACCACCAAACTGCTGACCTTTCTGATCGACAAGCTCAGAGTCTTAGCCACTGAGCCACTGTGTCCTATATTTATTGATATATAATGATTTTATTACCATCATTAACCATAAATCCAGATTTGGATAACAGTAACCTCTAAAAGGCTACAGATCTCTTGCTCCTCATTTAGGATTTTTCTGAAAAAGATTTTGCAGACTTCCAGGTTTAAGGCAGTTACTTTCCCATGGACACCAGATTCTATTTTTTGGCATTCATTCCCTTATCCCCCACCTCACAAAGACAAAATGTCTTTTGAAGATGCCGTTGGATGTTCATCTTTTCAAAGCAGATGTTGAATCATGACTTCATTCAGCAGGACAAATCCAAAGTGAATGAAGTTGGTTGGAGGAATGAAAATGATGGTTCACTGCTATTATACATGTCTGCCTTCTGCTTTCTGGAGCTTCTTCTCCAAAAAGGGGGGGAAAAAAAGAATTCAGTCATCCTTAACCAACACAACTGTGGTTACTTAGTTGGGGATGCAAATAATCTATGTATCAGGATTCCAAATAACACCTCCAATGAAGGAAGACTCTGAGGCTTGAAGTTCCTGCAAGTTCCATTTTATTAAAGATGTCATATTGGCACATCTGGGAAAACCAGAATCTGAACGCTTCCAGGTTTTCCTCACCCAAATGAAAGTCCAAGTCCCTGCCCAGCACCCACATGGCCCAATCAGGAACCGTCCCAAGTGGAGAGACCTCCCAGTCTTACCCCTCCAGGTGCAGGTCAAGATGTCCTTGACTCTCTGAGAAAGGAATGTTGTTAGGACTATATATGTAACTCCCATACTCCATATAATCCCCCTCCCATTGTCCACAGCATTGAATGTGGCAGGCCTGAAGGCCAATGCAAAAGATAGCTTCCAGGCCTGACACTATGGAAGAATTCCAATTTCCCTCCGCAGAACACATTTTGTGAAATTTCAAGGAATGCTAAGTGACAAACCAGGAGCTTTGACACCTTTTTTTTTTTTTTTAAAGCACATCGCTTGGGTCTTTAACTCAGTATTCCCATTCTTCTTATAGTACAGTTTATCAATCTTTTATTGCCTCTTCTGTACAAATGTTTATGCTAATATAAATGTAACAGGCATATTAAATAAAAAAGCCAGAGGGGCAGCCCTCTCTAAAACTCAGTCAATTAATAACCATGCAATTCTCCAACATTTATAATGCATCACCATCCTACCTATTATCATGAAGATGGAATTAAAATATTAAATGCTTCATGCTACTGCTGCTGCCTACCATAAGGAGTGGGAAACCAATGATAAAGAAAAAAGAAAAGAAAAGAGAAGCCCTGTTCAGTTCAGCACAAGTACAGAGAATTTCTAAAAAACATTTCCTTCTTTTCACTCTATCATCACCTTCCCTACTTGGTCTAAAAGCATCTTTTCACTGAGAATTGATCTAAAATGAATTTGCTTCTACCTGCTCAGTTATTCCTTCCTCTTCATAACAAGTCTATGATTTCCTGCATCTCTAAACGATGCTATTTTCATGTTTCATTTCCCCCAAGCAATTGGGTATTCGGTGTCTTTTCTACAAATCTAATCTCATGAAATCACCAGCTTTTCTCCCCATGGAAACTGAAGAGAAATTGCAGAGTGACATAGAAGGGACTAGATTTGTAACTGAGTCCTCAATCTCTCAAGTTAAATGGCAGTTCCCAAATTGTTGGAAGGAATTTTAAAATCTTAGAATTGAGGTAGCTACTTAGATCAACTTTCTCCTCAGTTTAGCACACTAAATTTAAAAACATCCCAAATCATTGGCTAGAGGGACACGGTGGCTCAGTGCCTAAGACACTGAGCTTTTCGATCAGAAAGGTCAGCAGTTTGGTGGTTCGAATCCCTAGTGCCACGTAACGAGTGAGCTCCCGTTACTTGTCCCAACTTCTGCCAACCTAGCAGTTTGAAAGCACGTAAAAACTGCAAGTAGAAAAATAGGAGCCACCTTTGGTGAGAAGGTAACAGCATTCCATGTGCCTTTGGCTTTTAGTCATGCTGGGCACATGACCACGGAGATGTCTTCAGACTCTTTGGTGGCTCTTTGGCTTAGAAACGGAGATGAGCACCACCCCCTAGAGTCAGGAATGACTAGCACATATGTGTGAGGGGAACCTTTACCTTTAATCATTGGCTATCTAGTTTCCTTCAACAAATCCAATGAAAAGGAATTCCCCACATCCTCAGGGATTGTTTTCTTTGTCAAACTGTTTTTCTTTTCAATTAGAGTTTTTTCTCCTAACATTCAATCACAATTGCCCTCTTTATAATGCATATCCATTATTCTCTGCCTGGAATGAATGAAAACAGAACTCAGCTCCTTTCTGAGATTGCAGTGAGAAAGTTGTGTTAGTTTGTCGTACCAAAAACCAGAAGGGAATCTGGTAGCAGCTTTACAGACCAATATATGTTATTAAAAAAGCATACAGATAGTCCTCATCTTACAACCACAATTGAACTCAAAATTTCTGTTGCTAACCAAGAGAGTTGTTTGGTGAGTTTTGCCCCATTTTGTGACCTTTCTTGATACAGATGTTATATGAATCACTGCAATTGTTAAATTAGCAACACGGTTGTTAAGTGAATCTGGCTTCCTCATTCACTTTGCTTGTCAAAAATTCATGCATCATGATCCCATGACCCTGGGACAAAGCAATTGTCAAATACATGCCAGTTGCCAAGCATCTGAATTTTGATCACGTGACCATGGGGATGCTGTTAAGGATGTAACTGTGAAAAGTGGTTATAAATAGCAATAGCACTTAGACTTATATACAGCTTCCCAGTGCTGTAGAGTCCTCTCTAATTAGTTTACAGTATTGGCATATTTCCCCCAATAATCTGGGTCCCCGTTTTATCAACCTTGGAAGGATGGAAGGCTGAGCCAACCTTGAGCTGGTGACACTCTAACTGCCGAAATGGTGGCAGCCGGCAATCAGCAGAAATAGCCTGCAGTACTTGATACTAACCACTGCACCACCCTGGCTCTAAATCATTTTATTCAGTGCCATTGTAACTTTAAACAGCCACTAAATGAATGATGTACATTGAGGACTATCTGAACCAGAGGTGGGTTGCTTCCTGTTCAACCCGGTTCGGCCGAACCAGTAATGGAATTCAGGCCTGGGTCACAAAGCCAGCAGCAACTCAGACCTGCCATGTCCCCAAATTGGCTTTTGGTTTTTAGTGACTGCGCATGCACAGTTCACTGTAAATTGTTCTGCGCATGGGCGAAGAACAATTTACATTGAACAGCGCATGCACATGCATTGCACATGGGTTGCGAACTGGTAGTAAAACTGGCAGCAACCCACGCCTGATCTGTACACAGTTGTCTTATGAATAAAAGTTATTAATCTGAAAAAGTTGTTACCTGGCTTCTCATTACTAGATGATACTTGTTTGATATCTGAAGAATGCTGTAACATTACTTTCCTTCCATCCTGTCTTTTCTAAACTTTCCCAATTCTAAAATACGAATCTAGTCTTAATGGTGGCTGTTCTTTCTCTTTCCCGTCCTGTTTTGCCCTCCCCCAAATATAGGCTCCATTTCATAGTTTTCCATACAGAGGACGTCCATGATGTTTTGAGAATCTGGGATGGGCCCGTGGAGAAGAGCATCCTCTTGAAAGAAGTTAGTGGCTCCATCTTGCCGAATGATGTCCACAGCACTTTCAACTTGGTAGTCCTTCAGTTCAACACGGACTTTTTCACCAGTAAACAGGGCTTTGCCATTCAGTTTTCAGGTAACTTTCACAGGTGTCATCTTGTCTTTGGTGGTCGGGGGAACTAAAACAGGATGACAATGTCATAGATGCCTTCAGCTCTCTACAATTCTGCCTGGTAAACTGTAATCCCCAAATTTATTAATTTCAGCATTCATGACATACCAATTCCTCAGCCATTTTTCTTTCAATAGTCATGCAATTTGGTGAACAGGAATTTGCATTGGAAGTGATTTAAAAGGAGAAGAGAAATGTAAAGAAAGTCAGATGGCATACAGCAGTGATGTCAAACCTTTTCAGCACCGAATGCCCAAACTAAAATGTGTGTTCATGCGCACGAATGTGCGTGCACCAGAGTGCTGGAAACCTGAAGCCCAGCTGGCTGGTGCGCGCTTGCCTGTTTTTTGGCCAATTTTTCAGCCATTTTCTGGTGCTCCGACACCCATGAAGACCAGCTGGTGACAGGGCATGTGCCCACAGAGAGGACCCTGTGTACCACCTCTGGCATGCATGCCATAGGTTCGCCATTGTGGGCATAAAGCCTTGCACTTTTCAGTGAAGAAAGGATAAGTGAGTAGGTACGAGTGATCTGGCTTTGCAATTTGCTGTCCTCTCTCCAATGGTGTGCAGCTTGCTTGTTTCTCACACTTCAATCTCAGGGAAATTGAAATTGACCTTTTCTGGTGTTAGGATCCTCCCCAAGGCAAAGTCCTTGAGAAATTAATGGGGAGTTTCTTCTCCTTCTGGAGAAATGCAGAGAAACCATCCATTCTCCACTCAGAGATTTAGTGGAGGATTGCAAAGGCCCATTTAGACAGCTGTTCTCCATATATACGTATATAGTTGATCCAGAATAGCAACATCATTGTGGAACAGAACGGCTAGAGATATTGTCCTCAAATGCATGTCGTAATACTTGTATCAGGACTGTATTTAAATAATCTTAATATTTGATGTTATTTAATATCCTTACATGGGCATATTTCATGTTAAATATTAAAAGAACACTAAAACTAAAACTGACATTTGGAAAGGCCAAATAGATATGCCTTTATTTGCTTTAAAAAAAAACCAAGAGATTAAGAGAGCAACCAAAGCTGGAGGATTAGAGCATTCCATACTTTGGGAAACTCTTACAGTGAACAAAGCTACTGCACCAGAGGGATCATTTCTGCATATTTTAATACTTCAGCAGGTTTGCAATAAAATATGTTGTCCCTAAGACAGCCAAGCCTTAAGCCATCTAATGCTTTAAAGGTTAAGTCCAATACCTTGATCTGAACTTAGCAAACAATCACCTTCCCTGCCACATTTGCCTTCACAGAAAGTTTCAGACTTCCTCGTCCTATTGAACCAATCTATGAGAGCCAGTTTGGGATAGTGGTTAGAGCATCCGGCACCAAAAGCCAGAGACTGGGAGCCTTGCCTTAGGCAACAAGGCAGCTGGATGACCTTGGGCCAGTCATTTTCTCTCCACCCCTAAAAGGGAGGCAAGGACAAAACCATTTCTGAAAATCTTCACCAAGAAAACTTCAGGGCAGTCTCTGAGAATTGGACATAATTTAACAGAAGAAGAAGAAGAAAAAATATAGACTCTAACCAAGGTAGGGATAATTGTTGCCATCCAACGAATGGAGAAAGATTTATAGCAATAGCACTTAGACTTATATACTGCTTCATAGTGCTTTTATAGCCCTCTCTAAGTGGTTTACAGAGTCAGCCTCTTGGCCCCCAACAATCTGGGTCCTCATTTTACCCACCTCGGAAGGACGGAAAGCTGAGTCAACCTTGAGCCAGTCGGTCAGGATTGAACTGCTGGCAGTGGGCAGAGTTAGCCTGCAATACTGCATTCTAACCACTAGGGAGGGAGAGAGGGAGGGAGGAAGATAGCAA